GAACTAATAATTTAATTTTTTTCAAATTATGCCTTCTTGGACTCTACAAGTTTTGGAAGCTCTCTCCTGTTGCGCATCTTGGTTGATGCAACGCAGAACTATAGAACCAATTAAAATTATTGAAATTTGCGATTGCTTAAAATGAACTGACAAAAGAAAAACAAGAAATAAATAACGGTATTTTCTAGGAATTATTAGGTGAAAATTGTAAGAGATAGGCGAAAAAAAAAACAGTTCTTTGCTTCCGTAATTTTTAAATATTGAAGCGAATAATAATTTTTAATTTATCGAACTATAGTACCTTTTTTGTTATTGTCTCAAAAATGCGATTCTTTATATTCCCAACAAGAGTTTTGAGGAAATTTGCTTCCAATTGCTCCACTTCTCTTATTATAGTTACTCGTATTTATTCAATCAAAACAATACTAGGAACATGTATGGAAATGCGAAAATGATTTGCTTATAAATTGGATGCAAAGTATAACTGTTTATTTGTTCTTCACGAAGTGAAAACACGATTTAATTTCCTGTTCAAAATACATATTTATGATCATAATTAATTGAGGATTTCTAAAAATAATGTTGAACAGTAGATATGTAGAAAGGACATCAGACCACCACACCTACACGAAATGCCGTTTGTCAGTCCATGCTGACCAGCAATTCGTATGTGTCTGTAAGTCATCTGCGTTAAGTGGTCTTGGCCCCGACGGAAATTAAGTTGTTCTCTGCAAAAATCAGATGGCAGATAGAGCGGCTTTTGTCCCCTAACTTATTTATTTATCAGAATGAATATTCGAATGCCAAAAATAAAAACAACAACTGATGCTGACTGGCGAAATTTGTCGTTTGTTCTGCTCACTTTTTCTACCCCATCCGACCGAAAAGGCCTTGCAATGTTGCAAAATTGTCACGACACAATGCAAAAGAAAAAGCTTTTAGCTCTGCAACTAACACATATATATATATACTTTTTTTGCTTGGTATTTGTTGTTGCCTCAGTCGGAGCTACATTCGCATAATTCGATTTGATTTAATGCTGTACTTGAATATTTGATGGACCCAGTAATGTATGCAGACTACGCTCGAAAGTCTCCTCCGGCTTTGTGCACTTTGTTTCCCATTAAATATGCATACACATGAGACAATCATATACTACGAGTGAAATCCGTATATGCGGGTGTTGGTGTGGTTCTCTCTACTCTCTAAGATTTTATTGTTTTCATATCTTTGACCTTCAAACACAATCGTAAGCAAACACACACACACACACACCCACATCAAGTGTGGTTAGCTTTAAAGTGACACAGAACTTTAAGTCGCTCCAGTCGGGTTTATTACACTCGTATTTCTGATATGTTCTACCAAATTTGCAAGCCAATGCAACAAGTGTAGCAAAAATTTGGCAAGGAATGCAAATAACTTGCATGCCAAGCCAAGTTGGCAGCTGTCGGCTGTTAAGCACTTGGAGAAGAGAAGGTCGGTCGCAGTTATCTAACGTGCCAGAGCTGTACATACTCGCAGAAACAGAAATCGCAAACACATATCAAATAAAGTGGGCTGGAATTTTGGAATTTTTGGCTTCTTGCACAAACAAGGTTGCACAGTTTTGGGGACAGCTAATAAGGATATATGCAGCTTATTTATTATGTGCTGACTGTACATGAGTGACACACACACACACACACATAGCACATATCACATAGCACCCAAACGCACCCAAACACAAACATGCACCCACATAAGTATACTACTTTGTGTGCGAGTTTCTTCAATATGTGGCCAACCCCAATGGCATGCCTTTGAAGTTTTATTGCAGCAGTGCTCGTGTATGTGGAGTGTGTGTGTGTGGTTGTGTGTGTGTGTACATGCCACAGCAATTTTATGTTGATTTATGTACATTTTTTATGCCGACCCATGTTAATTGCTCGAAAAATGCGCAACGTTTAATATTGATGTGCGCTAAATGCTGATTCGCATTTTTTGTAGCATACTTATGAGCGCAGACATTCCATACTCATCTGCAATAATTACTAACACATATGTATACTTGTATGTGTATATACATATATGCGCATGCATAATTCAAAAATTAATTGAAAAATTAATTTAAAATTAATTTCATGCGCACTAATGAACCGCAACCGAATCAAAATTAATTCAAACTCATACTACACGCCACAATTTTCCGAATGTCTGTTTGTGTGTCTGTCTGTTTGTCTGTCTCTGTCTCTGAGAATCAGCATCAATTGCGGTCATTTGTCACAATTTATGGCACATCTTGATTCAGAGAAGTAGAGAGAGAGAGAGAGACCCGCACATAAACAGAAGCCTAATTTGAACTTAAGTATGCCAAATGTCAGCCTGTCACATCCTTCGTCCTGTCCTGCATGCTCCCAATGGGTACAAAACTGCAGCGTTTAATGGCAATTCAATGGGGGCCATAACGAGGCCCAACAAAAATAAATGTGAATGTGTGTGGAAATTGCATTATTTTCTATCCACAAAGACACGCACACACATACGCACGCATAACTCAAGCATGTCATGGGCGTAATTGAGTGCATTACACATGATTGTGATTGTGTGGGTAGATAGCAGCCATACGACCACAACAACAACAACAACAGCAGTAACAACAACCACAGAAAAGAACGGTAGCCTAGGGACCCTAGGGGCGTGCCGCAAACGACGACAGGCAATAAAATAATGCTGGCATAATTTGTGCTCGGGCACACAAAACAAAAGCAAATGGCCGACCACACACACAAACGCACACACACACACACACACACACACTCACAATAACACTACATTGGTAATGTGCACAACGATATATGCTGGGGTCGTACCAGTTCTATTTTCAGCTAGTTCATGGCCTATAAATGGATCTACTTCCCCATTGATTCATCGGAACGATTCATTGCTGCACAAAACAGTTATTGCAAGATCCGCTAGAGGGCGCTCTCACTAACACCTCCAAATAACTTTATATCTAATAGCATATATCGTTTAAAAGTTTTTGTTTGCACGAAATATTAGTGAAATAGTTATAGTTTTATAGATAGGGGAGACGAATTCCACTTTCTCAAAGATTTTATGGATCTACGTGTTTCTCGTGAATTCCCGAATTCTCGCTATGCTATGCTAGCCAAGATGTTACAAGAATTCCTAATGGTACCCCATTTTACACATTTGAGTATAACTGTAACTTGAGTTCCCAGCTACTTCTATTATGTTTTCTATGAGTCTATGTGTGCCCATTTAGGTGTCTACGGACGCATCAGAAAACAAAAGAAACAGGGGAATACGGCTTGGTATTGATTTCAGAGATCCTTGCGTTAATATAGACAGACGAACACGGCTATATCGATGCCTCCTGTCATCGCTGATCATAAATATATGTACTTGTACTTTCTGGAACTGTGTTTCTTATAACTTTTCATAGGATTAACCGATTAAGATCAAATATAGAGAATTATATTTAAATACTGACATGTCCAAAGTTAACCTTATCCAGATTTGGAATGTGTATTTTTACTTTTCCTTCTATGATTACTACTAATGCTTAATATATTTATAGTATTTTAAATAATAATTATTGACTCAGGTCAATGGCGATGGAATTCAATATCACTAAAAGCATAGGATATACCCTAGGGCGATTTACGGCTACTAGAGCAAATCGGTCAAGGACGATTTTGCACCGTAAATCAGGCGCTCTGGCATGGTGATGGGGCTGTTAAGCTGCTCAATGAGGATTATCTGTAAGATGATCAAATGCTGGAAACTTGCCAAAACGAGGTTGTCATTTTCAAGGAAACGCCGCATGAGAATCTGCTATTATTTATGGGCACTTGCATGAATTCCCCGTATTTAGCGATTGTAACATCACGACTGTGCAAAGGTAACACCGTATACCTTCTCTACATGACTCAAATTCATGCATTCAATTGGGCTTAGGTTCATAAATCTAGTAATCGGACGTGTACTTCTACCATTCAGATCCAGTTCGGTTTAAAACACATATAATTTCTACAAATAAGGATGCTTCTTTTTTTGATTGCCTGCCGTCGACTCTGATCCTAGAGAAAGCGCTGATACGTACATACGTATGTACGTACATTTTATTTTTTGATGCAGGCGCTATCTAACCTGTCTATCTTCATGGGCATACATATCCATACATGAATATGAATGTTGAGCGTGTAAAGACGGAATAAGCTTAACGCTTAATGTTTCCCTGAATTCTTCAGAATACATATGTAGCGTTGTTAGCTGACGCAACCGTTTAACACAAACGGTAAATCGCTCGTAAATATGCGATCAGCTGAGATGCTAGAGATGGGCATGTGTCGGCTTTTTTCAGCGCGTTCACGTAATTGGCTATAAAAATACACGAGTCCGTATGCACGGTGTATGGATACACACATTTTTGTTTGAAAATGGAATAATTAGGAGAACGTCAATATTTAATTTATGATTGTATACATGTGTAGTCCAATTTTAAGGATCGATATATGTACATACATAATATTACTTTTAGGTAAAATATTAAATTATTTTGAGCAAATGTTGTTAACATTAACATTGTTACTTTTTGGATATGCACTGCAAATCCCTTGCTTTTTTCAACAATAAGATTGGTCTTCAAGACCAATTTCAAAAAACCGAGTATGCAGCTTTTTTGTATTCTCTTATAGATCACAAAAACAAAAGTTGAAGTTCATCGGTGAAAAAGTGAATATTTTTCAAACAATCTTTGGAGCTCATTTTCCCCCCTTAGGAGCTCAAAATCCCTTCTTAGTGCGCACCTACACTATGATAGGATACTTGACCCCAAATTTCAACTTCCTAGCTTTTACCGTTTGGGCTGTGGGATGTTGACGCGGTTTCCTTTTCTTGTCCTTTTTTCAGGAAAACTCCCATATTTCAGATCCCACGAAAATGTTTTTTGTAGATGTTGTAGTGCTCGGGATTAAAAATGTCATGCCCACCAATTTCTTAGAATGTTATTTATTTTTGCAGAACAACGCATATGGTTTAGTTTATCATACACGTGCTAACTAGATTAGAGTTGAAGATCGAGCAGAGAAGCGCTCAATACAATGAAATCCGATTTCGTTAGCCAGCCGTTATCTATTTTGAATTTTTAATTAAAGCCCATCATCGGCGTCAGGTAGGGGAGCATCCTCGATTTTGCGTATCTGCTCCCATGAGATTGGGGATATCATGATGTTTGAGGTCGGAGTCATGCAGTACGGGCAAGAGCGAAAGTCCATCAAATATATTACATTCGGATGCACCGGACATTTCTTGCCAATGCGTCCGTGGAAGTAATGATGGCAATTGCCGCACTCATAAGCCATCCGTTTACGATCACAAATGCAGTCGAGCTTTAACAGCCGACACCCGACAGCGGATGACGATACGTTCATGGCTGTAGAACGAACAGAACAGGCGATCTCTTGTTTTATGGAATTCACAAAACTATTCCGTTTTCACTATAATTACCTGCTCCGCCCAAGTGATGAGTGAGTGAAGAAAAGTATTTTTCAAATGCACTTTTTTGATTATGAGTGCTTATCGGCCCGCTTCTTAAGAATATCACCCGAAATGTATTTTTCAACGTCTGAGACGGCTCTGTGAGAAAAAAGTGTCCTAATATTGATTTTAGAAAGCTACGACAGCAGTTATAAAAATTTGTATTGTCAAATATATCATCGTCCTTTCCAAGTCGGCGGCAGGCTTTTTTTAAAGGAGGTGGCACTGCCAGCCTGTCATATCGAGTTACTTATAGCTGTCCGGTAACTCTGCTCGATTATTTTTACAATTACTGTGCTTTTTTGTGGCACGGGCGCTGTTGATTTCGTTAAGTTCGAATTTTAGTTATTCGTGAATATAAATCGAAAATACAGCTTTGGGGAAAATCTAGTCATGCTTGGTTTTTCTTTTGCAACAACTTCGATTTGTATCAAGATATTGAAACGCCGTTCCTAGAAGCAGACTGGAAACGGTTTGATTAACAATCGACTTAATCGATAATTATTATTATTTTTTCAAAAGGTCGAAAATCGATATGAAAGTTTTTAGAAACAACGTTTTTCGTCACTGCCTGAGTGGAAGGGATATTCGAATCGCGCTTAAGGAATTTTGAACTAAAATTTATTAAGTTTTATTTCATTTTATTTATTTCTTTTTATTAGAAAGATACGATGGACAAACTTGTTCAGTAATGTAGAATTATTTAGCTTACTGCGCCTGAATAATCGCATTATAGAATAGGTCTGTAGAGTATATTTGAATTGGTAAAATAACAAAAAGTTTAACGAAGTTACTATTCAATTCAAATAGTTTTTTAAATCATAGAAAAAAACGCAGCAAAAAATACGATTGATCTTTGCAAAATTCGATTCAATCGATCGATCTTTGAAGAAAATAATGATACTCGGGCGTACTCTAACGAGTTTGTAAACGACCATTAGAAAAAGCTAAAATTGTACGTTTTTTCAAATAAAAGCTAAACAGAACCTGATTAAAAAAATGTTGCATTTTGTACAAGTTGGAAAAACACGAGAACTGGTTTGATTTCTGTCACTGATAGATGCATATAAGCGAGTGGTCAGTTCTGTTTTTAATTTTCCAGGAAGTAGCTTTTTAGCTGATATTGTGAAGAACAAGAAAAGTGCCTTACAATGTGAAATCAAGGAAAAAAGGTTAAATGCTTTTGTATAATGTGCTAAATCTTTAAACTATGCCACCATAAAAATGTGTAATTGAGATTTATGAATAGTCTTCAAAACAATTTGCAAGATTTTAAGTGAAATAAGCTAGTTCTGGAGTGTGAAGAGTTAATGAACCAAATATATCGGTTCAGCAGTACAACAGCACTGGCACAGCCCCTCCAAAATACTCATGTGGCAGGCAATTGAGATGTTGAGTGAATATGGCTTGGTTCGGGTTAGTGAGTGGGGTGTGTTGGTCTCTCTGCCAAGCGACGGTCATGTGCGATTTCCGTTTACGTTTTATTGGCCACATTTGGATTTGTAGGACTTGTGGCCATCACTTCGATATCCACATTAATATCGCGTCCTAAAATAGCTCGCTTGATTGCCCAGCCAGAAATGATATTGGACAATCGCCTATACTTATGCTGTCCTTGAGGATTGACTCTTCTAATCACCACTCTCTCTCTCCCTCTCTCTCTCGCTTGTAGGTCTGCGCCATTCAGCACGTCGACGTCTGCATGTTTAACAATGGCAAGTTCAAGAACGTTGTGGCCGATTCGGACGCCGCCTCGCCATTTATTGACCGGACTGTGGCGCCGGGCGCAACACTCAACACCACCGTGGCATTGCGTCCGCAACGAGGCCCCACCAAGAACTGGATAGCATTGGAGGATACGCTGCAGCGAAGCACCGAGCCGGACGAGATAACCGGCGCCATAGCCGCCTCGGCCATACGCTCACCCAACTTTGTGCTGCACGCTGCTCAGCTCTTGGCCGGCGGCAATCAATGTTCAAGTCCAGCCGTGGCCATACCAACACCACCGGCCCCGCCATCATCGGGCAGCGCAGGCAATGCCAGCGGCAATTCTGGCTCCGCAGATGATCGAAACGTATTCGCCATCTACGTATCGTACTATGTGAAGGTGAAGCTTACGCTGAGCGGCATGGGCGGCGAGTTGTCGCTAAAGCTGCCCTTTGTGCTTGTCCATGTGGACGAGAGCCAGCGGCCGGGCTATCAATCGGCCACGCTCAGCGAGCTGCGCATGGAGAAGCTGGCGCTGCAGGATGTGCCAGCAAACCGAAAGAACGGCAACAAGTTGCGCACCGGCAATGGGAACGATACTGCGCTGGCCGAGATCGATGACGGGCCCTCCACAAGCGCCGCAGCTGCCGCGGCGGCAGCAGCCACCGCCTGCACCGGCGGCACACGCGTAGCACTGGATCGCATCGAGTCTGTCGATGATGAGTTCAACATTCGTGTGCCCATTCCGCCGGCTTCGCTCGTGCAACAGAATAGCTCCAACAAGCGGCGGCTGCAGCGCAGCGAGACTTTGGCACGGGATCTAGACGAGACAGAGGAGCAGTCCGTGGAGATGGCCGGAGAGGGGGCAGCCGAGCTACATGTGGTGGAGCTGCATCCGTCAAAGGGGCAAAAGGGAAAGGCAAAGGACACCGATGCGACTCAAGCAGGCGCAAGTAAGGCCGAGGATGGAGAACACGGCCAAGGAGAAGGTGAGGGCCCACAGGTAGCCGCCGAGACTGGCGCTGTTCCCAAGACACCAGGTGTGTGATTCTGATTCTGGTCGCAAATGTTTGTGAAGAAGAAGAAGCCATAGTTGATAATGCAGCATAGGAAGGATTAAGAAGGATGCAAATGTAAATTAGCAGGGCCTTAGGCCGCGTTTCAGGTTCGGTTTCAGGCACCGTCTAGGTCAGTGCGGTTCAGTTTCAATTGGTTTCGGTGTGGGTCTCGGTCTGGGCCAGGTTTATTTTTATTTACCTGACCCAGCCCCGGTCTCATTCCACAACTTGAAGCAACCGCACTTCATAGCCCCCGCCCCATCCCACTCCCCCAAATAGTCCGTGCACAGGTGCAGCGCATTATTTATAGGGTCATTAAGTAGATTGTTAGTTTTAGAGAACTCTCCAGTCAATGGACAATGGGAGGTAATGGTAATGAGAGCCAATGAATGAATATTTGAATGTTGTGTACGTGTATAATGAATGATGTGCAAGGTTTGTTATTTATGTATTTGGAAATTGCATTAAGATAGTTAGATATTGATGGAATTGCTAGTTATTGATAAGCGATCGATGATTGATTGATATTATGATGTATATATGTTTGTGTACTATATGTCCGAATTGAGAATGGGAATGTTAAAGTTTTAGCTAAATAAACCCGTTCCGTACTGGACTGCTCCTTTGATGATGGAGAATGATATTATAGCATAAAAATAAAATTCTTTAAAGTTGATTGATATTCGAAGTGATTGATGATTGATTGCATGATTTTTAGATGGATTGATGGCAAACAATGCTATTGCATTCCAATTTTTAAACAGGCAAATGAATTGAGATTTGTTAGCAAAATGTTTGTGCAAGCTAAAGCATTTGATTGAAAGAGAAAGCATTGATTTGCAGCAATGATTGAATGATGAAACATATTCCCCAAAATACAATTCAAATTAATCGTTTCACTTAATACAAACGTGTACTATTGCCACAAAACTTGACAAAAATCCCTAAGCGGGACACACATAATTGTTATTGAAATAATAAGGTTATTCCCAAATAATAAAAAAAATGACAATTTAATTTATAATGATAATAATTCATTTCAAAGAAAACTTTGTAATTGCTATCGCTTTCACAGAACATACAAACATGCTCGTACATTGAAAACATTGAATGAAAATTGAATTAATACACGATTACACACACACACACACAAACAGAGAGAGTATATGTATTCATATATATATATATATATATATATATATATACTGTACGTAATAAAAGTACACACAGTTTACAAATTGATGTTACAATTAAGAACAATAATTTAATGCCGTTAAAGTGTGCATTAATCACTCATATACAACAACAACAATAACTACAAAAAAGCAACAAATTTATATACAGCGCATACGTACATGCATATGTATGTACGAGTGTGTGTGTAAATGTTGCGGTTTCACCTGAAAATATCTACCAAATGCCTCTGATGCACATATCTGTGAAACTCCAATTGTTTTTTTTTTTCTTCTTCTTGTTAAAAATGAAATACCTTTAATACAAAAGAGAAACTCAAACATTGTAATATATATAGGAAAGCAATTAAATGTTAACCAAGCAGTTTATATCTACAACTCAACAGTATTGAAAAAAAACAAGGAGAGACGAGCTCACATCTGGATTATACATTTAATATAAATACTATAAGATACGTACAGATATGTGTTGGTGTAAAAATTCGCGCAAGTTGGCCAAATCTACTAACTGTAGCCACATACATGCATATATACACATATATACGTATATGCCACAGCTTCACGTATTTGTACAGCTGATGCAGATTCCGATTATCTTAACCCGCTCCCAAGCTTAAATACATGAGATATAACTACGATTTTAAGCACATTATCGATATATGTGTATGTATATGTTTAGAAATATTGCATATTTGTATTTGAATGTATTTGTAGATGACAGCATCTTCTTAAATGAATTTATAAACACCGAACAGCAAATACAGTTCCGTACACAACTCGCTCGGATGAAGCAGTGCAACTAAATACACTGCAAAGCGGTTTTTTTTTTTTTTTTTTTTTGTTTTTGCAATGAGAAACATACGTTAATTAAGTGTTGAACAATTAACTATTTGAAATAGACAGTAAGCAATCCGTCTAATCGAGCTGGCAAACTAACTATATTGAAGCTATTTTTTTGTGGCACGTCATACGCTGCTTCGCTTACCTATGGCCAGTAAGTAATTAAACAAAAGCCAAACAACTTTAAGCAACAACAACAAAAAAATGGTAAAATAAAAAAGAGGAAAAGAAATTATATATATATATACAAGTATATATATATATATATATATATATATATACTTATATATACACATACAAATTGAATGTGATGCATTTCTATGAGCGTAACAGTAGAGTACACAAAAGCAGAACAAAAAAATTGCAAAAATTAGGCATAATTGCAGATATACATGCGTATAGTACATACAAGTACATACTACCTATGAATAAACCTATATATTGTACAAGAATGGTAACAAACTATGGAAAGCATACATACATATATATTCACAAACCTTTATATACACATAACTATAAATACAAGTATATACTTATATGTCTGTTGTATGTATGTATATGTATATTTGTGTAAGTTACATACATAATTACATAATTATCGCACCCAACTAAGAGCTGGAGCTGGACTCTGGAAGAAAAATGAGACTAAACTGGAGCTGGATTTGGTGCTAGAAGCCGCCAATCGTTCGTTTAGTTTCGGTTAGTTAAGATCTGATAGGGAAATTGGTTGATTGATCGAATTATAGCTGATTGTTGTACTATTATGTTAAAACAAAACTAACTGTAGACAACCTAAGATTGCGAGACGACTTAGTTGCATTTGGTGCGCATCATCAACACACATCAAGCATTATGAAATAAATGTTGAGAATAAAAATACACACACATTCAAATGTTTTCATTTCTAAGCTTCGCTTACAGCTTCCACACACTTTGCATTTCTCCTGCAGCGTTTTGAAAACTTAATATAAATACGTTTTCGAATTCAAGCGGAACAGGCAAGTACATAGGTATGTGTAGAGGGGTTCAATTTTTCCAGCAACCAGTTAACTGCATCTTGGCACATTTTCTTACTCCGAAAAGCTGCTGTTAAATTAAACTTTAAGCTCGGACACATTTAGCTTTTATGTAGAATTGTGTGAAGCGCAAGCAGAGCTTTTCCGAAAAGCCTTTCGCTTGTAGGCACACTTCCTATTCGAAAAGCTCAAAAGCATTGGCAGTTACAATTCCGAACTTAATGAAGCTGTCTTTGAAATCAAAAGATTATTTCAAAAGCTCGAGGAGAACATCGATGCAGAAATAGCTTGCCGGGACTGGCAACTATTTTTCCCCCAATGGGCTGGAGAACTTCCTTACCCTTTATCCCCTTAAGTTATCTAATAAGCTAGAATTAAGTTTCTTCTTTTTTCTTACTATTTTTCAAAATAAACGTATCCGATCCGATGCTTGCTCTCCAAAAATGTTAAATACGGTTTATAACCAATCTAAGCAGTATCCGATATATTCATAAACACCAACATGTTTCCTACAAGGCCTTTTCTACAGCCTCCTTTCTTATATGACAGCTTTATGCGATCCGTCCTTACCCTTGCCACATTTTAAGATACACCAACCATCTTCCCTATATCCACTTAAGTTGCACTATATTACTCTAAGCTAAAAAGACTAATAACAGCACTCCGTTTTGCTTAAAACTCGTATAAATAGAACCAGCTCATATCCTATTTGTTTGGCATAACTTAGAAAGCAAAGATCATTTCCAAGATAGCTATCGTATATACATACGTAGAGCTCCGATCCGGCCAGTTTTAACAAATGATCTATCTGCTTAATGTAATAGAAAGACTAACGCGATATCTTCAAAGCTAAATGTTAAATGGAAGCTAAGTCGTTGACGGGGGACGAATCGTCTCATCGTGCTGATCATGGGGTCTATCCAAATACAATATAATCTCAGTGTATTAACAAAGGTCTAATAACGCAGCTGGGTTGTGATATTTAACATGTTATCTCGTTATATTCGCTTTTATTAAGCTAAGATACTGATACACATATGTATGTATGTATGTGTAAATGGCGTATCGCATTCTCGTTTAGAACTAATGTGTCGAGGCTGCGATTCGAGTATCGAGAGCCACTGATACGCTACAGAGTCCCATTCTTAGGCAGAAGAGCTGTCAGCGTTGGCGGCGTCGCCAGCATTGCCATCTGCTTTGGCATTGGGATTAACACCAGCATTGCCATCTCCAGCGTTGCTATCAGCATTACCATTGTCCACATCCATTGGTGTGGGGGTGTCAGCAGGTGCTGTCTCTTGCTTTAATGGATCCGACTGATTATCTTGGACCTTTGACTCTTTGGCGACATCGCAGCATATGATGCGACTGAATTTCTTTTTTAGACTTCCGCCGTTCATCTCTTTGGCATAGTAGTACAGATGAGCCTCGTATTCGGCCATCAAACGAGAGGGCACGTGTTCCATGGGTACCCACGAACTCTCGCGCGAATCATTCCAACTAAGCCTGTACTGCGGACGGCCTTGCTTGAAGCGCTTGCCCACTACTTTCTTCATGAGATGATCGCAAGGAACGGCGCGCGCTTTCTGAACCCAATAGAGTCTAGCTTGCAATTTTGCAGATGGCTCTCTAGCACAAAACTGTTCACGTTCGAGGCCAGCAGTAACAGTAACGAGACCTTCATCGATGCCTGTACCGGCATGGACGACACTTGAGTCATTGTTTAGATTCATATCGACGTATTTAGCCTGCTTTCAACGTAAATGGATCGTTTATTCAAATATCTAATATCTACTCACAACTCTCAACTTACAAAACGATTTTGCGATGAAAAAATGACGAACACAAGCCTGTTCTAAAATTATTTGACGCGTTCAAAGGAAATAGCAGAAATGTCAACCAAATAATTGCACGTGAAAATTGACGTTGGGGCTGTCCACTTGGTTTGAATATATAATGGGTATTCCCCAGGGACACATCAGCCAATACGTCTTTTAACATTTTAGTACGTTTTGGGCTACAATTTAACGCAACTAAAGCAAACAACTTTTCACACGTAATACATATTTGATCGTGTTTTGCAAAATCTTAATTCTAATCTTACAAACTAAAAGTGCCATTAAATTAGCATTTTAATCCAATCGATAATCGCAATAATACTCTCTCGATAAATGCAAGAGCTATGCAAACTCATCGCATTATTGTGCCCTTTTAACTATCACAAGCCTATTTCACGCACTGCGCCAGGCACATGTGTATATATGTACATATGTATGTACGTCATCAGGCAAGTCCTGCGGGCACATGCTTGCTTGTTGCCATGCTGGTGTAAGTATGACAAGGTAACGCAATCCAGCGTTTGCTTTGCTGTGCGTGACATGCGTGACACGAACCTCTTAGCTTTGCTTATGAGATGTAAAAAAAATATTCTGCTGAAACACTTGCTATCATTAAGGTAATACGTTCATTTTACAAAGTTCGCATTATTTGAATTGAAAAAACTATACACCTAATTCTGTTTTTACACGGTAGATTGGGTCCAGAAACAAACGTGCAAAAAAAGACATTGAAAGTAGCAAAGTAGGCGATTAGTTTGATTTTCAAACCGTGTTATATCAAAATCGTGCAAAAAAAGGCCGTGTAAAACCAGAATTACATACATAGGTGTATAATCTATGTATGTACATACATATATACGATCGGAAACTTTATATAATTCAAACTTTTAAGCTTCATTTGACTTTTTAGCAAATAAAAACACACCCAGCAATTATATAATTGTATATATGTACATAATGGATAATTTGATTGACACACTGTACATATGTATGTATATTCCCACAAGATGGGCCGTTCAACAAGATAAGAGCACAAAGCAGTGCAGGTTGGTTTAAGGACATCGAAGTGAACGTTCCAACAAGTCAGTACCCTATTTAAGCCCAATTACAGTTATGGGACTTTGCGAATTTGTCGCAAACATACATATGTATGTACGAGCATTTCCAATATGCCAGAAAGGGTAACAATAGTCATATAAAATATGGATATTATTTATATGAAGAAACTAGTGAGACAAATAATTTTTTGTGGCTTTGTTGAATTGCTGCGCATATTATTTTTACCAGCGGCTTTTTAAGATATTTGCGTTTATTACTCACAGATAGAGAAAATTCATAAGCGTGCCCCTATTCTCTTGTCCATATGTGTAAATATACAAATGCTTATTTGCTTATGTTTGATAGAAAGGAGCATAGCTAACTGAACTGTAAAGAATCTCATTTTACAGCAACAAACATAAAACAGAGAGAGAGGGAGAGAGCGTAAATTTAAAAGGCATACTTACAGCAATTTGCATGGACAATGGCTCTCCGACTGTTGTTGATGATCACAGTTTGACAAGCGCTGACCCCACATTGCATTGACTTCCAAACTCACGAAAAAAAACAAACAAAAACAACAACATGGTAGGCATGCGCTACGCATGCATTGTAATAAAAGAAAGCAGCACAAACGTGGTTTGAGGTTATGTGCTTGCACGCATTTATTTTTGTCCAAAAATATTCACAAGTATGTACGTGTATGGCAAGCTCACTTAAAAAAAGAAAACACATTGTAGCTATGCGCTACGCATGCATTGCAATAAAAAAAGGAGCACAAACGAGTAAGCCTTTACTTTAGCGGTTTGAGGTTAGGTACCCGCACGCATATTTTTTTGCCTAAAAAGATTCTTTATTTATGTTGCACGATCATTTATAACAACAATAAAAGCCATTTCTTTGTACATTTTTCTGCCATTTTTATAATACGCACGCGAATAACACGGAAAAAAAAGAGACACTGAACCGCTGTCGTTCAACATAAACGCGAGACTGGCGCTCGATCTGACGCTGCGGCGGCAACGATCCGCAAATGGCTCTGCTGCTTTTGTGGACGTCGAAAGTGCATTTCATTTCCTCAGCTTAGCTTAGGGCGGTCTTAGTTTATTCGATCTAATCCAGCATTATTGGAAGTCAAATTTGAAATATGACTAAAATATGAGCACAGCAAGAAAAAATAATGTTTTCTTAAATAGTACAGCTAGAAATGTTGGTAATAGAAATGCCACAATTTGATTTGGATTTTTTTCTTTACATTTTCTTGTATGTGCGTGTTAAATTAGAAACGAGAAGAACGTTAGACCGGCTCTTGAATACCCTGCACCCACTCTCTTCCCATTTCAGCCATACCAACAAAAAAAATGTTTGTTGCAGCTGTTATAAAAATAAAGAGTATTCAAAACACAATAAATTTTATGATTGTTGTTTACATATGTTTTAATTAATTTTATTCGATTTTCAATAATAAATATATTTTTTATCATATTTGTTTTGCTTCGTTTTTGTTTCTTTTCACTTTTCTCTCGTAGTATGTATCGCTGTTATTGGATCTCTTTTTGAAATATTCTATATGTATGCATTTGTGTGTGTGTGTGCTTATGGAATTTGCAGAGTTGCATTGCTCTTTCATTTTCACACACACACACACACATACATACACACAGAGCACATGAACTCCAAAATGCTCGTCGTATCAATCAACAATATTTACTTCAATTTTTTTCAATTGAAAAGAAATTTTGCAAAGTTGTGATGAATTTTTGAAACTGAAACACAATGTTGATGCATTTAATTGACTTGTATGTTATATCCTGGAGGACTTCCGCCACATGCCACATGCATATAAAAGGTATACTACTTGTATATAATGATGCTTCATCATGTAATAAGTGTTTTTTTTTTTTATTATTATTTTTATATCAACTTTCTTCTGCGAGTTAACCTTACATAGTATCTGATCTATTCTTCTGATCTGTCTGCTGGTTTCGCTTTCTTCTTACATTTCTTTTTCTTTACTCTTCTTTTCTTTGGTTTTGTTTTCTTTTGGGAGGCAAAAAAAGGCACTACAATCTAATAAGTTACGATGACGATAGAGTTGAGTAAGCTGCTGCTTCTTGCTGTTGTTGTTTTTGCTGATTTCGTATACATAATTATATACTATATATATGTATCTGTATATTTGCGTGTATGTGTGTGTGTGTATGCTTAGCAGGATTTCAAAACAACGCACAACTCACAAAAATTGTTGGTGTTTCTTCTTCTTCAAGTACTCAGAGTAATGCGAATGATTTAAGGCTTCATGGTTGTGTGTGGGAAAGAGAGAGAGAGAGAGAGAGAGGTAAATGCATCGATTAACTGTGAATTATAGTATACATACCTAGGTAGGCATAAGTACTATGTGTGTAGCTTTGTAATAGTATTTAATTGTTTATTTAAAGTGTTTTACAGTTAACAGTTTTAAACTTAATTTAACTTTTTCGTTTCTTTAGTATTTACCGTTTCGTCACTAGCTAAAAAATATGTGTGTTTGTGTGTGTGTGTGTGTGTATGTTTGTGTGTGTGTGTGTGTCACATGTGTATGTTTATTATGCAAAGTTCGTTAAATAGATGTACGTTAAGTTTAAATTTAATAAAAATGTTCAATAAATTAGTTAAACAGAAAAAAAAAAACGTTCATTAAGCCAAGTGTACTCGTATGTATACATATATATTTAGATGTAAACAATAATTAAATACACATTTAGTTAAAATTTTAACTGTCATTAGCCTAAGTCGTAAATTTTGTTTGCTTCTTTCAAATAGTTTGACGGCTTTAAATAATTATGCATTATTCGTTTTCGTTTTTTTTTTCATTTACCATTTCTTTGTTAGACAAATGTTTGCAATGCGCTGCACTTAAAAGTTTAAAAACAACAAGTTTTTAGCCCTCACGACGCCTATTGCTTTAGAACAGAAATAATAAGGATAACACTTTTTTTTTATTTTGTTTACTTTTCACTTATTCTTTAGTTAGTACATGCAGCTAATTAACAGAGTTCATAAATAAAATATATATATTTATATTTATATATACATATATGTATAGGTATATATATACGCATATATAGTGAGTGCTCAAGGAAGGGAAAGGCAAATTAGCGAACATTATTAGAGCAGGCTGTGGAAATATTACAAAAAAGTTTGAGAAACTCTTTGAGCACTCAATATAAATTGCATGGATATCGTTTGCACAGTTTTCTTGTTTGTTGTTGTATACATACATACATATAGGTATATGTATATATAATTATATATGCATATGTATGTGTATAGTTTACAATATATTTTTGTTAGTCCTATATAAATTCATTGCTTAAATCGCTGTACTCTTTGTCGTTCGTTTTGTTGTTGTATGTGGCGGCGAATTGACAATAAAATTGTTACTAATTAGCAGAATTTGTTGAGTTTCGTTTGCCAATAAGCCAATTGGAAAACAATTGATGATAAATTTATTACATTTCTATTCTTCTTGTTTCATTTTTATTTTGTAGTAAGAGTAATTTTTGAAAAGAGCAAAAGAAAAACAAAATAAATAAATAAAACACAAATGCAAGCATTAAAGACACTTTTTTCATTTACTTATATGGAGGAAAACCTAAATATTCATGTATATATACAGCAACATGTATGAATCTGTATATATATATACATATACACATATATATGTATATAGATTGTATATAGAACAATCTGCCATCTTAGTTGTCGCTTTTGAAACATTTTAGATATCAGAAAAGCGACTTCGAGACACATATATGCACATATATATGTATATACTTATATTATTCTTCTCATACATGCATATCTGTAATTGTTGTTGTTTATTATTTAAATGTTCTGTTTGTTGTTTACTATAAATTTATTTGCAACTCCGCTATATATGTATATATATATCTTCTTTTTCTTTTCTTTCTTCTTGCATTCTTTTGCACACTTTAAATTTTGTATTTATATAAAAGTTATTTATCGTATTTGATGTATTTGTTTTGTATTGTTGAACCTTTAAGGAAATGGAAGCGGATGGATGTATTATTTTTTCTTATTAGTCGCCAGCATTGGTGCACTTCGTTGCGGTGTTGTCGGTCGCGATGAATTCATGCCACTGTACAAGTACTTGGCCTTCTTCTCCGATGGTTTCAAGATCTGCAAGGATCAGACCGATCAGATTGTTATGTTCGGATCAATTCAATATAATATTCAATAAAATATATAGGCCAACTGGCTTACCTGGAATGAGCACATTAATGAATCATCCACCGTCATCATGCCACCGGCATTATCGAATTCGCCGCAATAATTTGGCGCCGAGAATAACGTGACCAGTTGACGGCGTGCAAAAAACTCGTAACCATCCTCCACAACCTGAAAATAGTGGCATTTAGGGATATGTTGTTGTTCTCTGGCTAGTCTGTCATTACCTGATGCGCCCGACAAATCAGATCCAGCTCGTGACGATTCAAGAATTTGGAAACAACATCCACGCCAAAAGTGAAACTCACACCACGATCGTTCTCGCCCCAGCCCTGCACATCCTTATCGGGATCACTCCATAATAGATCGCATAGCAGACCGGTATCGGGCACATCTGTGGGTCGCATCAATCGTCGTATCTGCTCCATGCCCTGCAGATCGGGACTCAAGCCGCCGTGACAGCAAAAGATCTTCTCATCGATAATAGCAGCGACGGGCAGACAATTAAAACAATCCGTAAACGTCTTCCACAGCTTCACATTGTAGCGACGCTTGCACTCATCGTAGAAGCCTGGAAAGCAGACAAGCAAGGAGGATTTGATTTAAACTCTATCATAATTATGATTAAGGGAGATATAACAAGATCCTACAGCAAGGCATGCATTATCCAGATGAAAAATTACTTTTTTCTGCGTCAAATGAGGACGTTTTTCCTCGAGTTTTCCTTTCAAAAAGCTTCAATAACCTCGCATAGTATTCGCTGTACTATTCCTCCTGCATCCTAATCTTTCCACTCTTACGACTACCTATTGGACTTAGCCCCATCTGTAGTCCATTCTTATGAATCAATACAACAACTCTTTGTGGATTACTATCCAGTGGATCAAGGACACGATGACCAGATCAGGGAAAAACCGCGACACCCATTTTACATTTGCCTCCTTTTATGGATATGTTGAGGCAGAATATCGAGAACATTTTCGAATGAGTTGTTTATGGCCTTAGTTAGCGTAATATCCTTTTATTTTAATCGGCGCTTATCCAACTTTTTCTACAACTCTAGGGAGAGCTTTCCTAAACGACCTCTTGGAAGCGACAACCATAGAGTTCGTGGACTTATTAAAAATTATAAAAACCACCGGGTGGCTATAGGCAGACCAACACAATTAGAGATAACCTGGCATGGAGCTTACATGGGCTTTCCAGGCCCAAGTGAGAGTTGTTTTGTTGAAGCTGGTCACCCTAGTGAGACCTCCAGAACGAGGAGCATCTTTGCATTTGAATTCAAGAAACCACCGACAAATGGTTGCTCTCTCTCTCTCTCTCTCTCAGCTCCACAGCAACTCGATTATTCTAATATTTTATTGTATTTTTTATTTATTTTAACATTTGTTACTTAGAATTAATCTTGAATCACAAAATTTGATACATATAAAAGTATATGTATAGCCAGGCCTTCAGGCTGATTATTCTAATAATTTCCTAGGCTTGTCTTTTAACATCTCCTTTTTTCAGTCTGCTAGTAAGAGAGACTTCGCAGTTTATATAGACTCACCATAAATTCTATTAATACTAGCGCACTCGTGATTGCCGCGCAACAAGAAGAAATTCTCCGGATATTTGATCTTGTATGCCAGCAGCAAGCATATGGTCTCCAGCGATTGCTTGCCCCGATCCACATAATCGCCGAGGAACAGATAATTGGCAGCCGGCGGAAAGCCGCCGTATTCGAACAGACGCAATAGATCTGTGTACTGGCCGTGTATGTCGCCGCAGATGATCAGTGGCGCCTCCAACTCCAGCAGTATCGGCTGTTGCAAGAATATCTCACGCGACTTGAGGCACAAGCCGCGCACCTCCGCCTCCGACATCTGCACTTGTTTTCCGGTACGACAGCTGCGCACTGTAAAAAGCATAAATCAGACTTGGTTACTGGGCTATACCGATAATTGTTCTTGTTGTTTTTATTGTTGTTGTTGCAAATATTACGACTATAGACTATAGATGGCATTACATTACATTATATTTGCTTTTGGAGCAATTACATGGCATTCAGACATTAGAGCGGCGCACAAAGGACTCGGGGAAATAGAGCATAGTAGTTGTAGTTGAGGTAGAGAGCTTGTGGGGGATGGAGGGAGGGGTGGGGCAATAGATTCAAACAAATGACCTTCAACTTTCGCTCTAATCAATTGCAATTAGACAGCCACACAATGCAAATGGAAGGCAACAATTGTTGTTGGCCACGAGGTGGAGGCGAGCGTTAATAAATGAATGGAAAGCGGACTGCAAAAAATAGGTGGCCAAGTGGTTCGGTTCGAATACAATGCGAGCGACGAAAGGCGTGCGGATTATTATGAATGCGGCAGTGCTATAAGATATATGGATATAGCGGGAGGGGAGGGGTGTGGTGTGGTGTAGTGTGGCTGGACTGAGGACAGGGGGGACGACCTTCACATAAGGCCGCTGGTGTGAAACAACAAAAGCACACCCTCACACAAAATAAATAACCACAAATACGGAAAATGTAAAGTCCATGTGAGGTGTCCCCATGTGTGTGAGTGTGTGTGAGTGTGTGTGTGTGTGTGTGTGTGTGTGTGTAAGTGCGGGGTGTTGGCGGACTTTGGTTTTGTTATGCCTTCTCTGCAATAATTACCATTCGTCGTCACTCAAAGATTATTTACGCCCCAGCTATTACTCGTATGCAATGGCTTTCTTTAATTTTTCTTCTCTTTTTTTTTTTTGCTTGCGCAACAAATTTAATTGCACAACAAAAGACAGCGCGAAGGAACAGAAAAGGGCTGCTGCCACTCCAGCAGTGGGGCAGCCAAATCATCATCTCTATCTGTTATGCCACTTGCTCCTCGCAAATGAATTTTGTACGAATTGCTGAACACATGAGAGCTCTGCATGGACAAATTCAAAGCACACTCACTCTCACATCTGACGAATCGTACTCACGACTATCAATCAGAGCTTTCAAGATAACGGTACAATTTAACTGTTTATAACAACAGCTACACACACTGTCTGACTAGACAACTGACTCAGCCATGGCATCAGTATTTTGACAAACACTTTCTGTTGATTCAAACGCTCTTTGTAACCATGTGCCAATAAAATGAATGAATGCAGAGTGCACTATCAGAACAACAAGTTTAAAAGCTTAAATGACGTTTGGTAAAAAAAAACCTGATCGATGACTCTAAGAAAAGGATTCAACTAAAGCCTCAAACTGCTGCAGCTCAATCGAATAAGGCGACCAAGATTCCCTTCCTCACTGATGTACTTAGGTAAGATTAGTTTGTTCTCAATAAGCTTTGTGATTTGAAAATAATTATGATTATTTTGATTTACGGAACAAACTAAAAGTATAATGCAAAAATGTGCTTGAAATGACTATTACAAATACGGTGATTAAACGCATTCTGTCATGATGCTTTATAACGAAAAAAAAAAGTCGTAAGCTAAGCAGAAACGATTTCTATATCTTTGCTTTGAATTCGATAAAATTTGGTGTTTCATTTCTGATTTAATGTTCAAGCTGTGTTGTTTTCTAAGTGTTTGTTTGAAAAGATTCAAATTTTATTTCCAATTCATAAAAATCGTTGTAATACTTGTACATCGCTTTTTATTTCAGTTTCAATTCATGACATAAGTTGTTATTTTTTTATAACATTATGTTAACAATAAAAGCTCTATATTAGTTCATTAGTCGACCCAGCCCTTTTGCTTCTTATTTATTTCTATTAAATGTTGGAGAGTATTCATATTATTTAATAGTATTCATATCATATACTACGGTACAAAGAGCCTCTATTGGATAGTAAATGAATACAAATGGAAATGATCCAATGATTGGCAATAACTTTTTCAACAAATCGACTTACATCTTACATAAATAACAAACTTTTTGGTAAAAATGGGAAAACGAAGCATACGAATTATTCGAAATCTTATAGATTTACGCAAATCAATCATTACTTTTAAAGGATTTTCAGTTTAAAAGGCCAGCTGCATATCTAAGATGGTCTGGCTTGTCGATATTATTACCAATAATAAAGTTTGAATGCCGACTACCCTCATGCAGTACTCTACTATCAACCACACACACATATGCATAGGCACGTGTGTATTTTAGCACGCCTCCCCATGGAGGGAATACAAGTAGGTCGCTTGCTTAAACACATGCGACATGTGCGTGTGCAAAAAATGTAATTAATTTTTCATACACACACACACACATACAAACAAACACACACATGTATACTATATAGTCGTATGCATATGTATGTTAGAGTATAAGAGTGCATGCCAAGCGTTTTTGAGTTAAAAGTGTGGCATTTAAAGTTATTTAAAAATCTGCATTCAACTACACACGAGTAGGTGAGGGTTTCTACGAATTTTTAGATGGATATAGAATTTGTTCCATTGCATTTAAATCGGTGCTTCTTTAACGACATTATGCAATATAGTTCCATATTGCATTTTAAGCCAAAATCGATGCAAATCGTGTTCATCTTAAATTGAAGGCAGTTAGTCAATTCTCGTGTCTTAAGCAGCAGCTGATTAGCAGAAAAATATGAACTATAATGAATTTTGTGAAATTAACTCAGTTTCCGAGTTCCGGCTCTACCCAGACCAGCCATTAGGTTGGCTAAGTACCTTTACACATGGCTGGCATGCCATTCAAGTAATTCGAACACTGAACCAAAACGAACACAACAAAATTTATTGGCTTGCATTGAAAGGCTGTTCTTAATATAAACCTCAATGTTTATTATTGGAAAGTAATTCTTTGAAGAGCCCCTTCTTAGAGGAAAATGGGATTTAGAGCAGGCCACCAATAAAACAGATATATAGTAAGTAGTATTAAAGACATGTAGGTGTACTATGTACTACTCGTATGTTATGTTTACATATTGTACGTCTAAAAAAAATTTAAGACTGGCCAGTTATTGTGATGCACAACTAAACTTGATAAACATATACATTAGAGGCAAGTTCAGGCAAGATTTAATTTTCTTTAGCTGTAATAGTTGCTAAAATCAAGGCGTTCATACAGTCGAACAGACAATCGATTAAGACCTCAAGTTGCTTTACGACTTGGCTGTCATTGGCATCTTGAACACAATTACTTAACCAACTCTATCGTAGTTGCTAGTTTTATAGCGTCTCTCTCAATGTCTATTATTTAACCCGCTCTTTCGTAGTTGTTAGTTTTATAGCATCTCTTTCGCTGCCTTACTTATGATTGTTTGAGCTCAGTTGTAACAATAACAAACTAGCAGTAATGGTTAGAGGCAACAGATCTACTAAGGTGTTCAGACAACGGAAACGAGGACAATAAATATTAAAGGAAAGAATTGCCTCTTTTCTTGACCTAAAATCAAGAGTTAAAGAACAAAACATCATTATAGGTTGAGCAGAGAACACGAAATGGATCATGAGATGTGAAACACAAGGCACAGCAAACTGTAAGATACTCATCAAAAGGGCTGGGGAATCAATATCTCTCTTAATTAACTTATGGGGGGAACACGACCCCAATACAGATTGTGCGTTGCTGCAATGTAGGTAAGTCAATAAGCCGAAGGTAATCTGCCAACCAACCGGGCAACCGAGCAACCGAGGAGTTCGGTTTGAGCTTAAACCGCGGAATGCCAAGACAAGAAACAGGAGAGATTCAATTTACGAATAACTATGCCCATACTGAGAGCCATACTCGAGAATTGGGGCGCACAGGTGAGATATATACGTACATAATGGCTTAGTGGCGTCGTTATGTCCTCAAATTCCAAATTCCTTATAACACCGTTGGCTTTGCTAGCCATTGACAAAATGTGTTTATTGTAACAACAAAGAATTACATACATACCTACATTCTTAGTATATAGTATAGTGTTGTTTTTATGAGTACGGCTGATGGCTTTTTTCTTCAGTGTATAACCCAGTGGATTAGTTAATGCTCAAGTGTTTGCCTGCCCGACCGGCTCTTCTACCAAAAATTTCTTAAGTTCAAGTTGGCCAAAACAATTGAGTTTATGGGCGCGTGCGCTTGCCAGTTGTTGTTGCTGTTGTTTTATTGTCGTCGTCGAAGTAGTTTCTCTTAATGTGAGTACAGTAGTACCCGTACATACAGTTTCTACAGTTGTGTGTAGATTGTTTTTTTCCTGTGTTTTTTCTTTTGTTGCCTGAATTTATGCGCTAGCTGGGCACATGAGGCAATCGGAAAAAGTTCTTTGCACTAGGTGGCGGTGGCAGTGGCAGGGAGGCAGAGCCATAACGAGAACCACAAGTGCCACAATAGGAACTGGACGAGTGGAGTGTGTGCTTAGTTATGCGTTGAACGTCAGGCAGTTGCTTAAGGTCCGTATGCTGCATAATTTGTTGGTCGTTGCCAGCTGTTACATACGCCAAAAAGTGCTGGAGTGTTTGGGGAGGGCTCGGGTCAGCTCGGGGAAGTGTTCGGTTGCTTGCCAGCACTTCCTCTTACGCATAAATTTTGCAACAGACGCCGCCATGTTGCGGCTGTAGATGCTTCTTGCTGTGTGTGTGTGCTTTTTATACCCTGCACCCAAAGGGTAAAAGGGTATATTAGTTTTGTGCGAGAGTGTGCATGTAACACACAGAAGGAGGCGTGTATGTACATATATTCTTGATCAGGATGACAAGCCGAGGCGATATTGCCATGTCCGTCTGTCTGTCTGTTTGTCCGTCTGTCTGTATGAACGCAAGGATCTCAGAAAGTATAAGAGCTAGCATAACCAAACTTGGTACGTAGATTCTCCTAAGCCCGAGAAAGGGCAAGTTTGTTCCCCTTCCCCTCTATTCGCGATTTTCTCTAAGGCTAACTGCAGTTTATAACGCCACGAATGAATGCAAAAACTACACCAGCGTTTT